CTTTGCTGCCTGTTTGTACCAAACACAAGGTAGATTTCAGAAGCACAGAAATTTAAAGAAATATGCAATGAGTGAGAACTACTCTCCCTCCCCACGGAACTAATAAAAAATTATGTAATAAGATGCCAAGTATTAATACTGACAGTAATTTGCATGTCATCTTAATAAGAAAATTAATTACACAAGTGCTTTTGCAATAAATTTGTTAATTATTGTATGTGCAAGGAGTGCTGGCAACAGATCAAACTTCCCTTTTCCTTTGCTTTGTTTTGGGTACAATTTTTTTAAAGACCTGAAAATAATAGTAACGTTGGAATGAATCTCATAGTCTTTAAAAAAGAAGTTAAAATTAATTTAATGACTAGTTCATAGGCACCAATTTCTGTACTCTGTGGGGATAACGAAAGTTCTAATAAAATTTAAAATGCTATGAACCTGATTATGTTTAATTTCTAAACCCTGCAACCTCAAATATTGGAGGATTATTCAATGTTGTTTTATTGGCAACAAATTTCTAGAGCCAGTGTCTTCAATGGGCTTGTAGAAAATGGTGAGATAGGGTACGGTGAGCTATTCTGAATTATCTTATTCTGTGATGTATATTAAAGTGGGCTCAAAACCTTGATAATTACTCAAAGTCAGTGTAAGTACATTCTGATTAAAAGTGGTTGCTGGTCCAAAGAATGATGTCAAATTTTGGTATTTATTTAGGCTGCCCATAACTCTGTAGGCATTTAAGAAACAAATAGAAGACAAAATCAACATAGAGATTTTAAAAGACCCTTTTGACCTGGCCACGTGCTTTGGAAAATTTTCTCAGAACTAGTCTCAAGTACTTTGGGATAGTACTTAAATTATGTTCTGTCTGGCACTAACTTTGCAAAAAGTTCATCTTGATCAATTTACTCATTTATCTAGGGTTCACCATTATTACTAAATTACATGGATTAACTGTTTAAAATGTTAGCATTTAAGTAATTTGTTATTCATTGGACATTGCTGGGAATGCTTGTATATTTTGTTTACTCCTTGGAGCATCTGATGAGAAGGTGCTATAATCACTTCTTGTTTATGGACCTTGAAGCCCAACTGTGAAGACACCAAGTAATTTGCTCTATATGACATAGTTGGCAAGTGGTCATGAAGAGTCTCATACCTGAATCTTTTCCTTTCCTACCTCCTGTGCACTGTGTGATAAGGAGCTCATTTAAAGGGTTGTAGCATCGACACGGTGATAGCCTGCTTTCCATGCATGCTATCAGTATAAAATCACCTAAATACAAATTCAGCTGTCGAGTTTTCAAAACAATGCAAAAATTAAAGAGTGAATTGGTTGAGCATGTTGAAAAGAGCTAAATGATCTTGACTCCCATCCCTTAAGCTGGAGTTCAAAAACTTTATCATTTATCATAAACAATTAACTACTAGTCAGTTCAAAGTACTTAAAAACTTCAATAGCAAAAAAGAAAAAAAATCACGTGACAGGAAATTGTGGTCTCCCCTTGGAGTTCTTAGGGTTCTTTTAAAAGAATTTAAGAACTGATTCACAGAGAAGTTCTAAGTCAAATTTATTAGAATTAAAAAAAGAAAAGAAAGAAAGAAAGAAAAGAAGACACAGGAAGAAGGCAAGCTGTAAATCTCAGTAGCTGACAAGAGGAAGGAAATACCAAGGAGAATGAGAGAAGCCATCCCATTCGAGTTAGGCAGCATGGAGGCCAGCCGTGTTATGCACATACTTTCATGTGGTTAAAAACAGGGAGGGGAATATTGGAGAAAGACAAGACAGGCCAAAGTACCAGAGGAGCCATACTTAAGTTCTGGCCAACATCTGAAAGAAAAAGACAGAAGGGAAGAAAGAGTAAAGGTTTTGACCTCTGAGTTGGGAATCAGAAAGCTGTACCATCGCAATAGAATCTCATGGTCCCGGATAGGGCCGGCATACACCAGAAGGCAAGAATGCTACAAAGGAAAGGGCCTTTGTCTCATTAAATAGTTAATTATTTCTCCTACCTCTTTAATTTATCATAGCGTACATCTGCCTTCTTGAGGGTGACGGATTGGTTGCCTGACTGCAATCCCAACGGGATTAACTCTTAAGGGACCATACAATCTCGTTTCTCTTCTCATAGACAGTTTCCAGATGGCTGTGGTAACTTTTGACTAAAGATAACTGTTTCCCCTTAAGAAGACCCAGTGCTGCTTGGCGTTGGTGGTGTGCACGCCTTTAATCCCAACACTTGGGAGGCAGAGGCAGGCAGACCTCTGTGAGTTCGAGGACAGCCTGGTCTACAAAGCTAGTTTCAGGACAACCTCCAAAACAATACAGAGAAACCCTGTATCAAAAAACAAAACAAAACAAACAACAACAACAACAAAAAAGAAGACTCAGTACTACTGAAAAGGTGCCTTTAATCTTTTGTTTGGAAATCAGGCCTCTGTCATATGTGGGGATGGTGAAGATCTTTTCCCATTCTGTGGCCTGCCAGTTTGTCTTGTTGATGTGTCCTTTTATACTTTTGAAACTATATATTTCTTTAACTTGCATGCTTATCTTCAACACAATTTCTCCTACATTGACCTTTACACTGTAAGCAGTAATCAGAATTCAGCAATGTGTATATGGCTACAGGATAGTATGATTAGCTGAGTCACTGATATCTTATTTAAGCATAGAGTGAAAATTAACTTGCTATTTAGTGTATTTCCAAAATGCCTGCTGATAGATTTTAATTTTGGTTAAGCCATCCACTGCCCCTTCTCACCACTCTCTAAGCCAACCCATATTAATCCTTAAATATACAGAATTTTCCCCTTTGCGAAGTTGTCATTTTTGGTCCTCATGTTCAACTCGTAATTGATTATATATGAAGACAATATATATCTTTCCTGTCTTTAACTTTATGTTCTAATGAATTTGGAGGTCCATGTTACTCAAATTGCTCCAACACATTTGATCCCTGACTGTCTAAATTCCCAGTCCTGACCATCAGCTTTAACCATGATGTTATATTTGTGCGTAGTTTTCTGTTAAGAAGGCAGAGAAAAAAAAACAATTTTGAATCAGTAATTAGATTTTCAAAAAGTATGTTTAAATACACAGCAAAATGTTCATTCAGAGTTAATGCATCCTTTGTATTTTCTAGAAAACTGTTTCTAGTGTCTGTATTTTATCCAACTATTAAAATAATATTGAAGAAAATACTTGTGTTGCCTAATTTGTACAGTGTACTTATAATCCAGAACTAAATAAAGTGCTACTGACCTTGACTATGAGCCTAATTTAGCTAAATGTCACACTTTATTTAGACCCAGTTTTTTTTTGACTGAAAATAGATTTTCTTTCTCTTGCACAACGTAACCCGATTACAATTTCTCCTTGCTCTACCCCTTGTAGTTCTTCCACATTGTCTCTCCCAACCAGATCCACTCTTTCTCTGTCTCTAATTAGATAATAAATATTAAGGTCATTTCTTTTTTGCCTATTTGTTTGCTTTTGATTTTTCTAGACAAGGTTTCCCTGTGTAGCTTTGGAGCCTGTCCTAGAACTCATTCTGTAGACCAGGTTGGCCTTGAACTCACAGAGATCTACCTGCTTCTGCCTTATAAATGCTGGAATTAAAGGCATGTGCCACTACTGCCCTGCTTTGTTTCTTGATTCTAATAAATTTATTATATTATTTGGACAATTAGCAAGCCACCAAATTTTGACTTTTAAGAATGGACATTCTGATGTGAGCCTGGTGAAGTTGGGAAAAGCTTAAGCTATGTAAGTTTAGGCGCTTCAAAAATCTAAATGGAAGGAAACCTATTAAACCTGTGTTAGGAAATTAGCTACAGACACACTTATGTCCAAATTTCCTGCCCTTTCCATTATATATGTAACTAAAATGTGCAAATAACAGGGTTTTTTTCTTGTCTGAGTAGTTATTTCAGAGACAAATCGTGTTCCATTAGTACACACCCAATGGCTTGTTCAGAAGCTTCTTAAAATAATGTCAACCTACCATCTCAAAGCAGAAAGCCACCACACTGAGAGGCACGTATCAACATGCTGTCTAGCAGCAAGGCAGTGTCTCCTGTATTGGCCTTTGCATTCCAAGCCTGTCAGAACTCAACAAATTTATGTGGTTACAGTAAAAGTAGTGTATCTAAAATTATTGATCACTTAGTCAAGCATATATTATTCTGTATTTTACAGAAAAAGGCTATAAGTTGATGTTATCAAGAAAATATAAAAAATATGAATACATTAAGTGTTTCATGGTAGATACATAAAATTAAGAATCAATTTTTAAAAAACGTATCATTAAGCTTCATGATATACTCCCCCCGCTGCTGGATTTGGCTTTTCCAGAGCTGTATAATATTTCATTGTAATTTGCCTTCCGTAACTTAAAAAACATTTGATTGTATAAAATATTTTGATATTTTAAAATTATGACCTTCAAAATCACAATTTGATCTATTTGATCTTACAGCTCATCAGGATAAAATTGCAAACATATCCTTTTGAGCCAACATCTCTCAAGGATGTTTCCCTGTGCCATTTTCTTGTATCCTGGTATAGGTAAGATTTGTCATTTTCCACTGTATCCTCTTTTTTGTATTGTTCAGTTTCTTCTTCTTACCATTATCATGTCCACAGTGCCTTATTATTTGATTGACAATGTGCAGTCTGATGCCTAAGAGTCTTAAATTATTAAATGGTAACATAATCCCAGGTTGAGTGATTATTGATATCTCCAAATGTGTGACGGGAGGCTTCTGAATAAAACAAGTAGCAACGTGAGAAACAATGGGAAATCTTGCAAGTTCTAGATGAATCATTCACATTCTTACATTTCTTTCATATTTCCTTTTCTCAAAGTTGAAATCACTAGTCACCATAGTGTCATCTAAAAGTTGAGAATTTTCTCATGTGATGTAAAGCAAAAATCCATTTTTGTTGGTAGTTAGTACAATGTCCTAGTACATCATCTATTAGATTTACAATTTGTAACTTAAGATGCAGCCTTGGGAGCAGTCAAGGCTCCCACTCTTGGCTTTTGGTATTCACACACCACACATCAGTGCTTAGTGTCACAGTAATTACAGACAACTCCCGAGGGTTACAATCAGACTTGCATGAACCTTGGACCAAATATCGCTTCAGTGTTCTTTCTGCACCTTCTGTTGTTTTCATCTGAGGAGCTGGAAGAAAACACCCAACACTATTAATCCTAGTTTATTCCAGACAGGCAGACAAACGGATTGATGGATACACTTATATGCTGCATAGAATTTCAAATCTCTGCCCCCCTTGCCCTCACTGTCTCTCCCTCTCTGTCACCTCTCTCTCTCTCTCTGTTAAATCACATCAAGATGTTAATAAAAGCTTTTCTCTTTCAAGTTTATTTGTCTGACAATATTTCTTTTGCTTTTAGCATTCCCTTTTTCAAGATATACTTCAAATGTTTAATTTGAATATAGCCTCTCAAAATAGAAAAGGTGATGAGAAACAAAAAAGAATTTACTGGTCTTTGGTGGAAATAACAACCACCTCCCCCTGTCTTATTGTTGATCTAGTGACAAAAACTTAATTTGTTAGTCAATGATATTATATTCAAAAGAAAAAACACAGGATTTGTTGGGGAAGTCCTGTTATTTGCCTGTGCATTTGTCAATAAAGTACTGTCTGGCCAATAGAAAACCTAGATAGGAGGGACTAGGAGTCGAGGAGGATTCTGGGAAGGGGAAACACAAGAGAGTAAACATGTAACGCCATTGGGGGTAGGAAGCATGGAACTATTCTCCGGTAAGAGACATACTTAGATTAACAATTATGGGGTAATTACTTAAAGCAGAGCTAGCCAGTAAGAGACAAACAAGGCCAACAGCTTCATAATGAATATAGCTTCCTGTGTGTTTATTTGGGACTGATGCGGACCTAGAACCAGGCTGGCTCGACAGAGCCCAGGCGACTGGCGGGGGATAAACCAAATCGGCTAGCAAAAGAAAAAGCTTCTCTTAACAAAATGGTGATCAGGAGTGGGATCATGAATTTCCACGCAGAATGACAAAAGCTTTAAAGGAATTTTAGAAACAGAAGAACGGAGAGAAGCACAGAATTTTGGTAGCAGCATTTTCTTAGTTGTGCTCTGTTTTGCTATCAACAAGCCGAGATTCACGTGGCTTGCTTACCGGAGTCTTCCTGACTCGGCATAAAAAGAAAAAAAAACCATCTAGGTTGTTTTAAGAGACTCTGCTAACAATTAAAAGGTGTGTACGTACAGCTGGAAGTGGCAGCTTTTGCTGGATGTCAGCATGGACTGAGGCGGTAAGCTGGAGTCACGCTTATGCCCGCCATCTTGATGAAAAACCGGCAGTTTAAAACAGCCGCGGTTTTACAGATAAGACACGTGGTCAGAAAAACATAAAGATTTACAATAAAGTCAGACTTGGATGAAGAAAATCTCTAAAGGTTTACAGTGTGTTTAAAAATATACGTGAGATTGAGAGAGAAAATGAAACGGCAAAGTGGTATATAAATACAAAAGCCGGCGTTGTGGTGGCGCACGCCGGTAGGATTGCTCCAGAGGCAGAGGCAGGCAGGTTTCCAAAGAGAAACCCTGTCTCAGAGAAAAATAAATAAAAGTGAAAGAAATAAAGTAATAATAGATAAATAAATAAGCCACGTAAAGATGGAAAATACACAGAGAGTCTGGATACTGTACGCTATTGTGTTTTTCAGTTTTTTGCTTGCTCAGGAAGGAACTGCTGCTAAAGTACACTTGATTATAAATGCTGCTGAATTAATCCAACTTCTATCTTTTAAAAATGCCTTGACTTCAAAATTTAAGTGTAAGGATATGTTACTTGGAAAAGGAGTTTTTATTTATGTTTCTACAGAAAATGAAAAGCTAAGGATTCCTTCCAGGCTTTTGTGGTTTGACGAACCAACACCCCCGGAAGCAGTGGACCAGGTGTTCCAACAATTGAAACAGCGAAGATGGTGCAGTCTTACAGACCCCGAAAATATGGACTTATACAGGTTTCTGAGTTTTGTCATGATCCCCATGGTATAAACAGCGCCCCCTTCCAGCAGGAAGCAGTTTGGAATGAGCGACGTCCCAATTCCCATCTTGTTTATAAATCTTTGTTTTCATTTAAATGGGATTGTTTATAATTGGCTAGTGATCACAGCCACTCTTTTTTAATGGTAAAAAGGGGAATTATGGTATGGGTATTGTTTTTCATTTATTGAGACAAAATCAAGGTCAATTTTATGATGCTTATATTTCTCCTCTTGATTAAGTATTGTGCTTATACTGATCTTTTACAACGTAATGCATAATTGAATACAGACTATAGATAGCTACTTATAATAGAATTTCTAGTTACATAAGTTAGGTTTCTAGATATACAGAAATATATTTGAGATGTACAGTCTTCAAACCTCTCAAAGACCTTCAGAACATGGCATTTAAAATGGTTTAGGGTTTGTCTTGACAATGAGAAATGTCTGCTCCTGGCAGCACCAATTACATCTGAGAGGAAGATGGGCATCGAAGAAACTCATTATAAAGTTTGCTTTCAACATGGCAAGATTAGCCATTTGGGCAAGAAACTGCTCTTGCCTAGATTGTTTGACTGTTGTTGTATAATCTGGACATGCAGGACCCACAGGAAAGTGACTGCTGAACTGAGTCTTACAGGGTTCCTGCTTGATGAAGAGTCTACGAGACTTTCTGCAGGACAAAGAAAAATGACTGACAGACTGCCAACGCAGATGGACAGTTTGAAATTTCCTGCTTTGCTGAGAAGTGTTCCAGACACATTGTGGCCTATGGGCTGAAGATGGATGCCCCAACGCTACAGAGGAACTTCGGGTGACTGTCCAGGCAGTAAGATATCTCTGTCAATCCTAGTGTTTATATATTATCCTTCTGTGGTCTTTGATGGAGTTGAAGACAGATAGTTATAATTATAGTTTTCCTTAGTTATGATAAAAGATAAGCTACATATAGGACTTTGGACTCACAAGGATGGGATGGATGATATTTTCTTAAAATCTTGCTAAAATATTGTAACTATGTTCTTACTTGATAACTGTTCTGTCATATACAATTTGACTATGTTAAAATTAAGACCTTTCTTTTGTTTAAACAGAAAAGAGGAGATGTTGGGGAAGTCCTGTTATTTGCCTGTGCATTTGTCAATAAAGTACTGTCTGGCCAATAGAAAACCTAGATAGGAGGGACTAGGAGTCGAGGAGGATTCTGGGAAGGGGAAACACAAGAGAGTCAACATGTAACGCCATTGGGGGTAGGAAGCATGGAACTATTCTCCGGTAAGAGACATACTTAGGTTAACAATTATGGGGTAATTACTTAAAGCAGAGCTAGCCAGTAAGAGACAAACAAGGCCAACAGCTTCATAATGAATATAACTTCCTGTGTGTTTATTTGGGACTGATGTGGATCTAGAACCAGGCTGGCGCGGCAGAGCCCAGGCGACTGGCGGGGGATAAACCAAAGCAGCTAAAAAGGAAAAGCTTCTCTTAACAAGGATTACTTCTGATAAGGAATAGAGTTTCCTAGTGAGCAGCTCAAGAAGAGTCTAGGAACAATATTTTCCACATAAGGCATTTATAAAGCAATAGTTCTCTTCACATTCTTCCCATGTTCCAAACATTACCCTAAGGACCTTACGACACAGTGAAGATAACAACCAGGAAAATACAGAATAACTTCATTGTTGATTGCATTCCTCAACTAGAGTTAGGATAGAGCTCAAAGAGCTTTTGTATTGGCAAAAGGGGGACTTTATTTTTATAGCCTTCTCAGAGATTACAATTCTGATTGATTATGCCTTTCTAAACTGAGCAAATATTTATGAAAATATTGTAAAATAAACAAATACCTATAATATAAGATCTTTTGCTCTAATGAACTCGATGAGCCAGACATGAATTAATTTTCTGTGGAACAAGTGAAAAAATGGATTTTAAGTGCCCTTGGTAATTAGTTGAACCTAAATGCTATACTAAATAAAGTAGGCTCAGAAAAAAAAGATCATAGTTTCTTCATATGTGGAATGTAAATTGTACATACTCATATAATGCATGCACAAACACATACATAATTACACACAATCATAAATACATAATATATGCTTATATACATATGGCCTGGGAGCATAAGCATTGAAGGACAGACAAGGAAAGAGTGGAAAGAGTAGGGTTGGATGAGAGCATAATGAATGTGAACAAAGTACACGGAGACAAGTATTTTACAATGTCACAGTGAGATTCATTGTTTTGTGCACTAAAAACTTAGTTTCAAAAAGGAAATAAAGGATATGACAGATTTTGAAGATCCTCCATGGAAGGCCTCACCCTTGGGAATTAGTGGTGGCAGGGGAGGAGGGGATGGAGAGGGAACTGGGATTGACATGTAAAACAAGCTTGTTTCTAATTTAAATTAAAAAAAAAGAAAAAAGGAAATAACAGAAAGTGTACATTCCACTTTTACTCGTATGCTTTCCTAAGCATGTTATAATGTGCTAGACACTGACTTAAGCATATAGAATCTGTTTCTTACATTTTTTTGTAGCGCTTGGGATTGAACCAGAGTCATACATGCTAGGCTATTGCTTTACCCAGTTTTACTTGTAAGTCATGTCCCAGTCCTTATTCCAAGCACTTAGTATACATTAAGCAGATTAATCTCCATGGTAAACCTAATCAATAGAAACTTCTTTCTAGCGGAGGAGATTGTGGCATGTCATTGCCTCCTAATTATTGTGTCATCACTGGCAGAGTTAAGATGAACTCTCAGCTACTGTGCTAAGAGGAGACATATTCTCTCAAACTGCTGACGTCTGGCTTCATCACATTTTAGAAGATTATTTCTGCCTCTGTCCACGTGGCAAGTGGCCATAATCCCAGCAGTGGGGAGACTTAAGAAAAATGATGAGATCAAGGTCAGCCTGGGTTACATAGTGAGACCTGTGGTCAAAAATGGGATGTTTCAACTTCCTTCTTATTAAAAAAACTGTGGGAGAAGAAAGTTTTTAGGAGGAGAGAGAGTGACTGAGTTCCAGGAGACAGCTACTGAAAAGCACCCACACAGGAAATTCTCCAGAGCAAAGCATGGGTGTTGAAACACAAGTAAAGAACTTGTGAGAAGAGCAGAACCGACACCAATTGAAATGCTGTTCTCTTAACGGTTTAGCTTTGATGTACCTACACCTCTAGTAAACTCTTGGTTTGAAAATCGGGCCCTGAATCTTAGTATCTCATCCAGGAATAACAACCAAAGACAAGTATCAGAACTCTTGGCATTTCAAAGCCACAGTGTTCTTTCTAATTTTTTTTGGTCCTTTAACTATAAAGGAATATCTACTCATTCAATAATCCCTCCCTAGGAGAAAGAATATTTCAATTAATAAAATTCTTTTAAGGGTAAATTAATCACTAAAAATGCCAAGAGATTACTTAAATTGGTGTACTCTGAACCCAACAGCATTTAGAATCAATTAGGATGATCTTTAAAGAAAATGTACAGCTTACAAGCTACCCCCATTTAGGCTAAATTCCTAACAGTCAGTCCAAACTTTCATCATAAAACAAACCATACCATTCTAAACCTCATCACAGTTAATCAATTACTACATACATAGCCAACTATCTGTTTTTGTCAGGCAGGAGTTCAGTTGTATAATATTTTCCACTTAAATCTTCTCACTTCTTTTAACTAGTGTTAAATGATGTATAAAACTCAGAAAGATGTTTTCTCTACTCCCCACCAAATCCAAATAACCATCTCAGCCTTGCAGAGGGGGAATATACCCCAGTGTTGGGGTAGTATAAATATAAACAGTTTGGCATGTGTAGAAATTCTCTGTTATAGGATTGTGGTTCTTTGGGATTTCTGCAAGGAACATTTTCTGTCTGAGCATTGGTTCATTTGGATTATTAGGAATAAATGTAATTGCTATCTTTCTGTAGTTTAAATGACATCAGAAAATAGTTAATTCTCTTAAACTGTTTCCCTGAAAATTCTTCATCTATATTTGGCTACATCAGAAATATCAGAAATCTTGGGTCAGTGTTCTATCAGAAACTCTACTATTTGATATTGCCTTATATTTCAGGAATCAGTGAACAACAGATGAAAAAAACTACACTTATATGTGAATTAATATGCATTCAACATACTGTACTTACAGACTGAAAACAAAAGAATATAAAGGAATTCAAATGGTTGTAAAACCAAATAATAATTCCTGAAATAACTGCCAACAGTTTTGACATGACCTACGGAAATTTCTTCAAATAACATCACTGGCAAATCTGGTTTTTGAAGTTTCCCTTACTGTGTGGGTGCTTCACGTTAATTAAAAGATAAATAAACTCAAAATGGGAAGCTGGTGACAAAAGTGTTAGAGGATACAGGGGGGAAAGAGGAGTAAGAAAATAATAGAATGTCAGGATAGAAAGAGAAGAGGGAGAATTAGAGGAGGATGGATGCATCCCCGCGTTAGTGAAACAGTATTTCTTGCATGCTGGTGTGTACATGAATAGCCTAGGTTATTAAAATACAGATTCCAGTTCAGTAGTTTGATGTAATACGATTAATTAAAAGACTCAGAGACTGATATTGGGGTTCAACCTGAATATCAGGGAAGCAAAGCAGTCTGCTATTAGCTCTTACCTCAAGCTCAGGCTGAAAGGGCTGATACCATGCAAGAGCTCTTCAACAAGCCTCAAACTGCTGCCCCTTCTCAGAATGGCTGGAGAATCCCGAGACTTCAATATCTTATCCTTCTTGATACTGAGCTTTCTTATCTTCAGTGTAACTGGAGAATCAATGCCTAACTTCAGTTTGACTGGAGAAATAATGTCTCCTACTGAATACTGAAGACCCTGCTTCTATTTTTTACACACTTCTAGTGCTGGGATTAAAGGTGTATGATTTGTTACTCTTTTAGACTGATTGAATCTCCAGTATCTCTGGGTGGCTTTGAACTTAAAGAGATCTGTCTACCTTTTAATTTCAAGTCCTAGGATTAAAGGTGTATACCACCACCTCCTGGCTTCTGGCTGCTGGGATTAAGGTGTGTGCCTGGCTTCTATGGCTTGTGGCTGACTTTGCTTTCAGAATCTCACGCAAAGTTTAATAAATCATAAATAATATATCATTACAGTTCAAGTCAAAATTGAGGTTTTCTATTTTGTACAAATTCTGTGTGTTTTAAATACCCAGGGATGTGATGCTTATTCTGAATATCCAGACTTTGGGCACATCACCTATGCAAGTCCTGATTCTGTTACACCCTTATTTCTGGTCCTTATCAATATCATCCAAGATGTAATGAGAAATATATGGGAGTATGCTACTACAAAGAAAGTGTTCTTTTTAAGCAACATTCAGTCTTCAGTAAATATTTTCACAGTGTTCAAACTCGAAATAAATATCAGACATGAAAATATGCACCATTGTTAGAAGATTGATAGGCGACTAAAATTTTGCAGTTAATCTGTTTTTCTAGTCAGTGATAGGAATGTCATTTCAGAGGTAAAAAATCAATACAGGAAGACACAGGATCTTTTTCTAACAGATGATATGAAAGAAACTGACTGGCAAGGGTATTTGGGAACTTTCAGTTTAGGTATAATGGTTCACTGGGGTGCATGCAGGTGGGGACATTATTAGGAGGTAAGTGAATCATTAGCGTGTTAAATTTTCTGGTGGATTAATTCAATCATAAGCTCATGGCCAAATAGATCCAAGAAGTGTGCCCCACTAGAGTAAGTGGGCCACTAATGAGAATGTGCCTTTGAAGATCATAGCTTGAAGGATTTCAAGATTACAAATATCAAAACTATTGCATGCTTATGTAAGAAAATATTAGAAAAATACTCATTTCTACTTTTGATGAGGATTTGTGAAGAAAGGTGTAGAGGAAGATTGCCTGACTTCCAAGGAGGAGACATATTTACATTTCCTCCGTGAGGCATATTTCTTAGCTCCTTGCGTTTTCTTTTCTCATGCTGGGGACTGCACTCTGAATCTCATGCATGCTGAGCAAGTGACTTATTACTTAGCTAAGTCTCTAATGTCAGTGAATCTTAGAGGGTCACAGAGTCTGTGACTTAATGAGAGAAATTGTTAGTTGAATATTTCATCGACATGTCTTTAAAAGTTAATAAAAACTTATAGGCTATTACATAAGTTTCTGTAGCTTAAAGGATGTGCAGTTAACTTTTTTAAATAAAAAAGAGTGGCTACATGGTAAATTTTCCAGAAGTCTAAACCCCCAGTGTTCCCTTGAAATGCTTCATTAATCTTGTTTTTAGAGCATTGCTCCTATTACCATGTAAAATAAAATGTTGTGGGTGAATGTTTTAGACAATCTGTTCCCCAGTCATGGACAATTCATTTGGAGCACCCAGCCCACAGATCGCCCTATCCCCATTTGAATCTCGTTATGTCTTCTTTGTTGTCTTTGATGCCCAGAGTATACTCCTTTGAAGTGGAAAGGCAGTCTTCACTGTGTTAGAACTCTGCTGTTGACTCAAGATGTTGATTTTGATTGCTGTGGCACTGCGCTGGCACTTCCTGCTTCCTCATGATACCTGGGGCACTGTTGCCATCCTTAAGGGATTGCTCAGCCAATGCCCTTTGCTTTATGGGTATAATATGTCTTGTTTCTAACTTGCAAAATGATTGTCTATGTACATTATACTAGTCAGAATCTTAA